AGAGATTTCTGGAATCTTTCTCGAGATTTCTGGACGATGTTTCTTTATTTTTTGTTTTCGTTTATATAAAGCATTGTTTCCTCAAGTTTTGTTGCTTGTAGTTTTTACCTGTTGCATCAATTACACCTAAAGAACAGCAAACCTCTAGGTATGCATGTTTGTTTTATGTTTATAGCATGTTACTTTCTTGCAAATCACCTACCTGCTGCATTTTTTTATTTTTTCTTTACCCCGCATGTTGTACTGTTCTCTCTACTGCAAACTCTACTGCTTCTTTTGTACTACATATTCTAATGTTATGCTATACACTATACAACTTCAACGTGTTCCCTATAAAATATCTAAATGACTACAACCATAGGGCCGTTGAATTTGACATTATAACCTGACACCCTAAAAAACTTAAACTTGTCACGACAAGGAGTTTGAAATTAACGCGGTGGGCAGCACAACTATCTTCAACAGCAGAACATGTCTTCCCCAACTAAACCATTCCTTTCCCAAAAATTAAAACAAAAATCCATAGGATTTCGAGGTTGTTTGCCTAGCGCAATATAAATCTTCAACATTTTCTTTAGGCATTTGTATAGCTCTGCTGTACGATCTAAGTCATAACTCGTTTTAGGATTCTGAGTTTGTCGTTCGTTACGACCTAAATCCTCATATCTTCCAGGCTATTTGTGTGATCGTTTCACACGAATGTAAGCCCTAATTAGATAAAATTGACAGAATAAAATACTTGAATATTTCTCCTCGAAACTGAAGTCAAACCATAGAATAGACTGGGAAGTCACCGAGGATCTCCTTTGGATCTGTGACATCCCCTAGTTATTCCTTTGGATTCTGTAATAAATGTTCCAAATTTGAGTCATTCCCTTTTCACACCTCTTATTTTGAAATCTTTAAGATAATTTTTCCTGATTTTTATCGAGAGTATTCTTAAGTAACTTCGGTCATTTAAGATGTAATTAACTATAGGGGCTTGCCCTTATAAGAAGCTTTTCCAAACCCAACTTAAAATAAACCCTATTTAATTTTTCATATTAAATAAGAAAATTTGTCGGTAATTAAAACAGTTTCGCAGACCAAACGGACATCATATATTACTTAGTTTATTTGATCGAGACTCATCCTCAAGTCTTGTGTTTATCCCTCGGGATAGATACAGGGTTTGAGGTAGAGTGCTCTTTTATTTAAACTGTGAAAATTATGGGGTCAGTTTGATTTCATATTTTTCTAAACTTAAATCTATATCTAAATTAAAACGTCATTCCGAAGCGGGCGACAAAATTTCAATTCCGGCGACCAACAGTTTTCTACGGGCGACTCACCACACCCCAACTTTTTATCACCGACACTTAATAATTTTTTGTAACTCCTCACTCCAGTACTAGTGTTCCTCACCAGTGCATGATTTATTTATGATCTCTCTTGAAATTTATGCATGAATCTCTTAGTGGAACTAATCATCTTTTCTCAATTAGGTTTAGATCAATTAAATAAGTTTACTTTTCCTCCATTGTAACATGTGACTACATATTTTGAAAGTTTAATATTTTTTTCGCTTTTCAATTTCCAGGACTTGGTTGTGAGGTAATAATTTTTTTCTTAGTTATTATTCTTTTAAGATATAAATCCATAACTTCTACTTTGTAGTGTGATCAAACTCTCTTGAAATCATTTTATAATCTTTGTAAAAAGCTTTTCCTTTTCATCTAGTAAAAAAATATTGGTTATTAGATTATCTATTTTTGAAATTAACCAAGGCATGCACTTGATATTACATGAGCATAGACTACAATAAAATTAAGTATTAACTTACCTCAAATAGCTCATCCTATCAGAATGTATATGATCATTTACTTATACGTTAAAACAAAGATGAAAAAAAATACAACCCCTGGTTTCATGAATTTGGATCCCAGATGCGATGACGACCCTACTAACTTCTGATTCAATTAAAGAATTTTACTGTAGCACCTTTTTTTCCGTTATTGTTTAATATAAAAGAGAAAAAAGAGGACTACTAGGAATATACATAGGAAATCCTCTAAATGTTAATGCTGAATTCTCAAAGTGTCTAAACAAGTGATGGGTCCTTAAATCGCCAAAATGGTGGAATCCTTAATGCCCATGGGAGTAGCTTTAAAGCTCATCTTATTTAATAATCCAAGTCTCATACAATGGACCATGAAAGATTCTTTTATTAAACGACCTCAAACTTTAAAGTTCTATAGCACCACTACAAATAAAATTAATGACACTAACAAAATGAAAATATATTTGAAACATCTTATTATTTTTCTGAATGAGTCATAGTGTAAACAAAGTCTTGATTAACATATAAGTGAGGTAGTAGCTGATCTACAGAAATTCTCAACATACTAGATAGGCTGCATTAGAACAGAAGGCAGAGACAGAGATGCAAATGAAAAAAATAGTGGCTGCAATGGATGGGGTTTTTGTTAGTGTTTATTGAAGAATGAGAAGAAGTAAAAACAGGTAGAAGGCATAGGAAAGGAAGATTGCGGTGATTGGGCAAAATTTGGTCATGTCGTATGTGAAGATCATATGAATGGTCTGAGGGAGGGTGCTTGTTGGGGCAGGTCTCTCTTACATGCTTACAGCTAGTACGTATATGTTAGGCAGGGCAAAATGTTAACTTTTGTTATTTTTAGCAGTAGTGTGCATACTAAATGTCTTTTGAACTATTTGGAAATTGTTATATTAAAATATCCTTCTTTTTTATTGCTTTTGTGTGAGTTTGTTTAACATTATCATAGTTGCTAACTTTATATTTTTTTTAATTTATCAAAATATTCATTATATGGTTCTGATTATCCTGTTCAATGTCCTTGTACTCCATTTTTTATATTTTCATCAGATTTATCAATTTCCAAGCTATTTTGGGTATAGTTCATATTATGCCTTCCAACCAAAAATTTTTTAATGAAAGTTTTATTTTTTATCTTGAATAAGTGTAGATACGGTGTCATATCCATTCCGGAAGTGACAGATTGGCAATCTATAAGTGAAAATGACACTTGTCTGGTTATCGCATCTGATGGAATCTTTGAGAAAATGACCACACAAGATGTCTGTAAGGTTTTATGGGATGACAACTTAAGATCCAGTACTATACCTTGGTGTGTACATGGACTATCACATTCTTGTGCTGATTCAATTGTAAATAATGCTTTTGAAAGAGGAAGCATGGACAATCTGGCAGCTGTTGTTGTTCCACTGGGATCCGGTGTTGTTTCTGAGGTTGTCTTTTCAGACCAGCTTGATGTAGCTGATTTGTCAAATTTTGGGCTGCAAATGTTCATTAACCAACAAGCTGGTAATAGCCCTAACGATTTTGTGATGTTTGTAATTTCTCTGAGTTTTTTATCTTCCAAGATTTTGTAATATATGATCTTCTCTTATAATTGAACACTTTATTTATAAGGTTTTTACCTTTTTCTTTGCTATTGTTGTGGTTCTCGTTGAGCATTGATTAAGAGGTTTTAACTTTTTGAATTTTAGGTTAATTGTTGATCATTAGCTTGCTTCGTTCTGTGCATTACTAGTAGAGCTTAGAAAATGCACTAAGGGTTGACATTCTTGTTGTGCAACAATAATTAATATGAAAATGTAGGGAGGTATGGGGCAATTGTCGTATGTAAAATGTGCTTAAATGCATAACACATTAGTTGGAAACAAAGTGAAAAAGTATAAGGCGCTAGGTTCAAGCGCTAACCCTGCCCGAAAAAAAAGAGGACGAAACTATAGCTGTTTATGGGCGGACTGCCTTTCTTGTGGGATTATCCTTTGATTTTTTTATTGTAGGTTTATAAGATGTATTTGTTGGAGGTTTCCGAATCCCGACCCATGACAAAGATTCTTTTTGCCTTTGCAGTAATTTTGACGGTATACAAATAATATGGCTAATCTTTTGATTATCCAAATATGAGGACGGCCTTTTGTATTTGAAACCCTATTAAAATGACTGAAAAGAATCTATGAAATGTTGATCTTATCACATAAGTTTTACCCTGGTAGTACTCTTTGTTGGTATTTTTTAATTTTAGTTTTCTTTTACCATATGCAGGCTAGTGGTTGTATAAATAATATGGTTAATTTATTGGCTATCTTGATATCCTCAGAATTAAAAGTACAATGTCTTCTGTAACAAGACTGAAATCGATGCCATTTTGTGTCTTGTGCATATATTAAGTGTTTTCCTGGAATCACATGTGCAGTCTAGTAGGTTGGGCTTGGTTATAAGTATATTCTTTCATGGGGTTAAGCAATCAAAGAACCTTTCATTACATTTTCTTTAGAACTTTTTTTTTTCTTGGAGGAAATCATGCAAATTCTGAGTGGTTCGGAAATTAGTTGACTAGGTGTCCTAGAAGACAAATCTCCCAGCCACAGCCACCACTAATCTGAGCCCTGTTATTTTTTTTTTAAATACTGAAAACAGTACTGGCTTTGGCCTCGATCTATATCAAATTAAACTCGACAAATTGACTAGCAAGCCATGCTCGGTTCAAATCGAACTTTGGAATAAGTGATGATTGAAATTTACTTAACTAACTCTAGATTGGATGAAGTCATGAAGACCAATCGCATGTAGTTATGAATGCATACAGGGATATGTTCATGAATGGATTTAAATTTCTATTTATGCTCATATATATATATATATATATATTTCAAATTTCAATCTATTATGTTTATGTATGAATTCATATATGCATGGATTTATGTCTGTTGTTGGATTAAAACTCTTCTTAAGGTCAATTTGGGATAGCTGCAGCTTTTTGAAGAAGCAACTGCGAAGCTGCTTCCAACAGAAGTTGCAGTGATATAGGCTTCCTTTTTTATTTTAGAGAGGTTTTATTTCATTTTGTTGCATGTTTTTGTAACAGCGCTGCTCATTTTTTTTTGCTAAGCATGCCTTTCAGATAGTTTTTTTCTCTAAGTCTATATGTAGCACACATGCTCCTTTTTCCCTTTTAGAACATGATGGAGCATACTTTTGTAATGCCCGGAGGGCATAGATTTGTATAACATTTTGTATCTTGATTTACCTTTTAATGCAAAATGCACACTTTCAATGAAAAGTTGCCTGAAGAATCAGCTGCAGTATGTTTGGATAATTCAGTTTTGAATTGATCTGCTGCAGTTGTTTCTGAAAGAAAGACTATTTTGCCTTTGTCGAATATAGATACTACATGCATATCACACAATTCTTAGGAATTTACGAATCCCACTCCTAAACTTTCATCTTTACGCATAAAAAATGAAACACCACCTTTAACCAAAACCACCGAACTCCCACCAAAAACATAGCAAGCCCAAAAAATTTCGAAACAATGAATCGATCCAAAAATTCCAAGGACATAGCACTGAATGCACTTAATACAATCCTGAAAACAAATTGAATCGAGCCCATAGATGATCACATTAAGAAAATCCTATGAGGAGCAAAGCCATATATCAAATAAATCTAAACGCATAAAAAAGAATCACAAAGATATAGAAGATAATCGAAGACAACAAAACATACATGAAGGAGATTCAACCAGCGAAAGGAAACCCTAAGCAATGAAGGAGATCGAAGAGAAGATCGAATAGGGAGAAGGGTAAATCGGGTATAATGTGGGTAAATACTCGATTTGATTGAGGGCAACAACATAAAATCAAATTCAAGCGCGGGCGAGACCATAGAACCGAGGACCTCCACCAAGTTCTGGAAAACATGGTTTCTACGACGTGATTTTCCTAAAGCCCGACAAATAGAGCTCCCCAAATGCACCCTCAGGTGCTTTATAAAGCGAGAAGCAGTGAAACAACCACCCCAAATAGGGCTATATAAGATAAAAAATTTATTTGAGTTGAATCTTCTTTTAGTTGATTGTCACTCAAGTCAAAATTAATGAGCCAATATTGATTCATATCACAATCAGATCATTGAATTGTGAATACCTATAGCTTAGCATTACTTGAGATGAGCTTGATAAGTTTAAGTTGATCTTGAGTTTGTGTTTTATGGGCTCGAGCTTGCCCACACTAAATGAAATGACATATGAATTTGGGCTTTTTTGTATTTTGATTACTATTTTGTTAGAATTCTCCTTATTTGACTATTAACAATGCATTATCGGTAGAATCTAACCAAGGTGTTAACCAATCTTATGGTTATTTGTAAAATACAAATTATTTATTCTATATAATTGTTGCACTCGTGAAGTTGAGTCTTTATGTATGGTAAACTTCAATTGCCTTAGATATTTGCGACAACACACTAATAATCAAATATAAAATCAAGTGGGATACAAGTTTTTTTTTTTTTTTTTGTGAAAAATTCTTGGAGTAAAAAAATGTGGGAATTGGTCTACTTGAGCAATAATTATTTTTTGTAAAAAATCAGGATAAGATACCACTTAAACAAATAAGAGTGGTTAATTCAAGGAACTAGAGAGATTTTACTGCACGTAGCTCTTGACCAATTACAAAATATTGTAGGCCTCTACTTGTGCTGTTTGTGAACATTGTAAATGTTTATGATAATAAGACTACCATATAATTGGTGGTGTTTGTAATATAATCTTAGTTAAGATGATTGTTGTCCAATCTTGGATAAGGTTGGATATGGTGCATATCTTGTTAGACTTCGCTGTGGTGTAGACCTTGCACATAGATTGCTATGATGAATGTGAAAGTTGTGATGGAGATATGGAGCGAAGTTGGCTATGACACAAGCAAGATTGTGAAATAAGACTTAAGGGAAATTACTACGACAAAAGTGAGGTTTCAACATAGTTTATGAGGTGGTGATAGTTACATTGCAAGTGAGGTTGTAGTGCAAGCCTAGAAGGAGATACATTCGACTTGAGTGAGCTTTTGGGTTATAATGCATGTTTTAAAGGAGGCGACTACTGTGGAAAGGCGGTTGCGATGCAATTCTTGAAGGAGATGGGTGCACTATAAGTGAGATTGCTGTGCATGTCTTGAGGTACATGGCTACAACACAAATTGGATTGCAACATATGTTTTGGAGGAGTTGATTATAATACAAGCTAGGTTGTGACTTGTGTTTGAAAGTGAAGATGTCTATAACATAAGTGAGGTAGCAACATAAGTACTGCAGTGTACTTGAAGTTGTGACACAAGTTAGAAAGAGATAGTTGTGCATAAGCAAGTTTGCATCAAGAGTCTAGTGATGGTGATCACCATGACTACAACAAAAACAAGATTGTAATATCAATTTTGAGAGATGTGATTATGACATAAGAGAGGTAACAATTTATGTTTTTAGATGATCATGACCACAGTGTGAGAGAGATGACTGCTAAATAAGCAATACTACAATGTAAGTCTTTTATGATTCAAGCTCCCAGAGCTTAGAAAGTACTATTAACTTTTGGATGAAAATTGCACTTGGGATTTTTCTTTGGCTCTAGTTTACTTTGAACACGGACAATTTTATACTTCTTGATGGCCACTCATAGGATTTTTTCTTTTTTTGGAGCTCCCCCAGGCTTGAAAAATCTTACAACTCCTTAGGATCAAAACAACCAATAACCAGTGGAGGCTACCACTAGAATTGTCATATATTAGTAGATTAATTTTATCTCTTGTTGATCTTGAAAAAGTGGGTTCAATAGAGGCAATTAACCTAACTTTTTACAGTTGGTTAGAAATAAACAGTTTTGACTTGATTTGTAGTTCAAATTTCGGGTCATTAGAAAATGATTATTATACCTCCTTTTGTATAGAAAATTTTCTCTTTGTGAACAATTATTTGTTGAAAATGAATTTTTGAGTGAATATTTGTGAAAATTGTAATGGCTTCAAGAAATTAAAAACTTGTCAGAGTGAATTGCACAAAAAAGGAGTGCAACTGGCTCAATTAGATAATATAACGCTCAAATTTCATAATATCAGGTAAAGTCGAATCAATTGAAAAGTAATCAAAATTTTCATCTTTCGGAATTTGATCGAAGTAATTTTATTAAATTCTACGCATGAAATCGATCGATTAAAAACTTGTCAGAGTGAATTGCACAAAAAAGGAGTGCAGCTGGCTCAATTAGATAATATAACGCTCAAATTTCATAATATCAGGTAAAGTCGAATCAATTGAAAAGTAACCAAAATTTTCTTCTTTCGGAATTTGATCGAAGTAATTTTATTAAATTCTACGCATGAAATCGATCAATTCTCTGTAAAACACTATATTTAAAGTATGAATTAATTGAGACATATAAAATATGAAAGTTTTCAGTTTAATTAACTTTAATCAAACTTAATTTATTCCTTCTCTCTAATCCTCTGTTACTATTCTTCCCCACCGCCTTTCACGTCTTTTATTTCCTTCGATCGATCAAATAGTGCTTCTAAAGTTTCAGTTTCCTCCCCTCACCCTATTTTCTTTCTCGCGATCACCTCTCCCTCACTTCAATGACTTGGCAGGCGAATCCTGTTAAAAATTTGACTCGGATACTGTAGCCATGTCGCACGCAGGCAAGCCTAGGGACATCTGGGAAGACTGTAGTTCACGATTTAGGGTTTTGGGGTGTAATCCCAGGGTATGAATTTCCATCTCTCGCCATTCTAAGTATTCATGTTCTTCCTCTCACTTTCGTTTTGGCGTTTGCATCTTTTTTTGTGTTTTTCTCGTTCCCGGTAGCCTTCGGATATGAGTAACGTTGAATCCCGTCCTTACAAGGAGAAGAAATAGACTTCGTTGGTGATTTGAATTTATAAATTCTTATTTCATGATTTGGACATTTATTAGGGCTCACTAGACTCGTCAACTTTAGTCCTTACAAAGAGGGGGATCAGGCTAGGTTATTAAGACCTACAACTTTGTCCTATAAGCGTTGTGCAATATTCTCAAACCTAGTATTTGAGCATTCAATACGTTGTTTAGAGCATATGTAGACATTTAATTCATGTGTTTGAGCTATTTTTGCTAGAACATTTGGTGACTTCATGCAATTTATGCAGATTTAAACATGAATTAAATCGAAGGGCCGAAAAGAGTGCATCTTGAAAGCTTTGTTTAAATCTTGAGATATTTATATTCAAATTGAATATTATCTTAAGAATTTATATAGTGATGAAGCCATTTACACATCTTGAAAGTTAGTGTGAATGAGTGCATATAAGTTTTCATTTGAAGCATTTTATTGCCTTCTTATCGCTAGGAGGTGTATTGCGAACACGGTGGCGGTTGGCGATTCTGATGGAGAGACGAAAACGAGATTTCCACAGGAACTGAACGAAAGGGAACGATAGGAAATAATGTGTATCGTGCGAATAATACAAAGCCAAAAGGAATGTCGAGGGGGCTTTTGCTCGTGCTTGTAATTGAGGAAGAGCGGGGAGCAGTTACTGTGCATACCATCACGAATATTGTTTTTCTTTCTTGAGTTATTGTAGTTTTGAAGTATGATTGCTCTTAAGTTATTTTTAGATAACTCATTATGTTGTTTTAACATTTTTTGAGGTTTTATACTTTTGAATAAAATAAATACAAGAGGAGGGAATGTATACAGAAGGAGCAAACAACAATATGAAAGAAAACTTTTTATTTTATTAATTTAAATTGTGAATAATAATTGTAGAATAATAAAAAACATAATTTTCACTTTCCGACCGTCTTCTCCCGTCTTGATTAATTCCATTCCCTTTGCCGGGTTTTGACGCCAGACATTCACCTTCTTGCTGTCATGCAGTCCCCTACATCTCCCATTGTTGCCTTCGTCATTCCCCCTCGCTATTGACAATTTGAATAGCCGTTCCCAGCTGTTTGCCAAATGTTCCAGCCATCCAGACCTTTTCTTCCTGCAGCTTTGGGGCTGTTCCGGCCACCACTACTGTCCCCTTCTGCAATTGTACTGCTGTCCCTGCATGTCCCGGCCTCCCCAGCCTTTGCTCCTTCCCTTTGCATGCTCAGCCGTCTACAAAATCTGCGCCCTACACCCTTACCACTTGCCGCCATCATCAAGGACAGCTGTTCCACATTGTTATCCACTGCATGCTTGCTGTCTATAACCCGGGGAACCTCTACATTGCTGTTTTCTGCTAGCTGACCATCTCGTCCACAACTCTGCCACCTTCCAACCGTATGCCGATCACCACCACCCCGAGATCCATGCTAATTTGAGTTGGGTTGTTGAGTCCATTGTTATTTTCCTCTCAAGTGTATTAGTTGTAATTGCATATTGACTTTATTAATAATAATATTTGATTTTTCTATTGTTATTTCTGTTTACTCTGGTATCAACTCTACTTGGGTGTTAGCATGGATTTCCCCTCAATGTCATGAACCAAATTATTTTCATGTGGCCGTGATAATTGTCATTGGGTTTTGCCATCCTTCACCGTACAACTTGTTAGAGATCCTTTTTGATCATGCTATAAAAGGCCCCTATTCTAGTTTGTCGGTAAGAACTTGCAGGTGGAGATTTAAGTTAGGGAAATAATGCTTGTTAAAGGATGGGTTATGGAACCTTACACTTTACAATGAGAGATGTCATCCACGCCGTGGGAGAATTGAGCAATAAGCCATAGTGCATGGGACTTGACCATCTGGATTATTGATTTGTGTATGAAGTGATGACACTTCTTTAGTTTTATGGCCTTGTAAAAGCCTTTGAACCCTCTAAAAACTTTTAGATGAGTTGTTAATGTGTCAACATGATTTAGTTAATTTTTTCTGATGAAAACCTCCAGTTTTTGCTTAGAAAATTAGGTTATTTATTTATTTTATTTGGGTCTCTGTCATGGGCTAATTGTTTTGATTGAATTCTCGAGCTTGTAGGATAATGCCTTGTCTTCAAACAATTAATTGAATTATATGGCAATATGCATTGAAAACTGATTTGAAGAAGAAGAGCCCTACTTTAGGTTTGACAATTGGTTGAATTGTGGTGAGTTTTGTAGCAAATCACTTGTTGAGGTTGGCTTGAAAATTGATTTTTTAACTTGAAAATGGGAATTTTATCTCGGGGCACATTTTTTAGCTTTTTTTTATAAAGAAAAAGTGTCATAATTTGAGAAGAGCTTTTTAGTTTTTCGTGCAACTTTTATGTGGTGTAATGTTTGCTAATTGAGAGAAACAAGTCCTCTTTGAGCTTGTTGATTTGTTGCATGGCCATGATTCCCAGAGAAAGTCACATAGCCTTGCCTAGGGCGGACAAATCCATCTAGTATTTTAACTATTTCCCAGGATTGTTGGCTGGAGTCTGCTAAGGATTTTATCCATTCTCCAGAATTGTTGATGGATATTTTATATGATCACCATAGTCCATATTAGAAAAGCTAGAAGTGGGCCATTGAGGGTTTTGATTATCTGTTCGATTTGTTGGTTGTAACCCTCACATGATAACCTTGTTAATATTAAAAAAGTCGAATTGAATTCTTCAAGAACTTTGACTATCTTCTAAGATTATTGGTTAGAATCGTGTTTAATAACCTTAGCTTATTTGGGATGAATTTAAATGAATCCACTGAGGGTTGATTAAATTCGTTTTGAGTGCAGCGCAATTGCATGCAACCCTTATTTGGAATCATGAAAGTTTGTTCCAAGTCAAATTGGCCTTATTCTTTAAGGTTGAGATTATGACTTAGCAAAGGGGTGAAAAGTCTTATAGGGATCGCGAAGGAGGCATAGAAATGTAGAAATGAAATCCTCTAGTAACTTTTTTTTTCTTTTTTTTTTAAATTAAGTTCCTCCTATATGCATGAAGCATTGAAGGGAAGATAGTAGTCATGCCTCTTCAACCAATATTGTGCCTTGAACGTCAACATGGGCATCCTCTTGTGACTGCTGCCTATGTAACATGACGTATAATTATCAAATTGAAGTTAAGTTTATCTACCTTATTTTTCTCGACATTACTTCATATGATTGCCTCAATTTTTTGTGTTTGAGAGATTTTACTCTTTTAGGAAGTGATGAGCTTAATATTTTAATGGATGCCCGACAATTCCTTTTCTTTTAGAGTGATTTATGCTTGAAAGAGTCACCTTGGTTGATTTGTTAATGAAGCTTTGTTGTCTATGTAAACAACATGCACTGATGGAATAACATGAGTGATGTGGCTAAATTATGAGCAATTGTTAGGGTTATTTGTGGAGTTGTGAACAATGTCATTAGCTTAAGATATAATACTGCATACTGATGCACAAATGAGGCAGCTAGCTACGGAATGAGTAGTGAAGTTATTTGAGGAGGAGCGTGTACATTGGCCGACTATGAGATGAGTGACAACACCGCCTGAAGTAGAGTGACATGATTGGCTAAGGAGCAGATGATGAAGCTGTATTAGAGGGAGCGAGCAATGAGTTTGACCTTGAAATATATGCATGAAAAGGTATAGACGATTTGATATTGATGAGGGATGCTTATGTTTGTGAGGGACAGAACTGTGTCAATGAGGGATGCGGTGGCATTAAATGATAATGGTGGTAGCGTCTGCTGTTGATGAATGACACACCTTGTGTGTTGATGGATGATAGATATGCTCCAAATTATCTTGCATAGTATTTTTTTGCTGTTTGCCTGCCAACTTTTCATGAGCAGATTAGAATAATTCTGTTTGCGATTGCCTCTTCTTTATGTTTCTCCCATGGGAATAGCTTTAAGATCTGATTTCTCTTAGTTTTACTGAGAACTCCATATCTGAAATTTCGCTGCTGCACCAGATATTCTGATATTGATAGTCTTTGTTTAATTATGTTCTGAATAGCCATAGAATCTATTGTTTCAACTATTAATTATGAACCTGTGAAGCATTTAAGCATTTTCAATCAACTTAAATTAGTTTTTTTTGAAGTTTTTGAGGAAGAGAGTTTCAACTGAATGCATGGTGAAGGATGGCATCCAGCTATTAAATTTATTTTAGAGAATTCTCACAAAGATTGTTTTCCTGCTTTAGCTGATCCAGTTTATTTGTCTTGTGCTTCATCTACTGTGCATACTTGAAAGAATTTCTTAATTCACGGAATCTGGTTTCTATTTGAAGGAGAAATGTTATTTTTTTTTTCTTATTTATGTTCTTTTTCCATTAAATCAAACATTAATTGGTAATGCTCTGTTCTACTTTGCACTGCTTCTCATTTAGCAGTTTCTTCCCCATCTCTTCCATGATTGTTAGTTATGCTATCTTTTATCGTATACTTTTCCAGGATATCAAGTGAAGCATGGAGTTGGTACAAGTATTCTTTCATCAAGCTATTACAAGAAGATAATTTCAAAGTTTGATCGGTTGATGGTAATGTGAAAGTTTAGCGTTATCTGTTTCTTTCTATTATATTGCTTAGAAAAGAATTTTATTTTATCTAATAAGTTTTGGGTTTTTCACTACATGATGCACTTCTATTGTCTTAAACCTTACATATTATTTGAGAAGTGTATGTTGTACTCTTGCATGTAAGAAATATAGGTTTCTGTAATTTTCGCTTTTTTACGTTGGCAGATTTCAGCATGGAATTGTGGACTTTGCACAATAGTTCTAGTCTTCTCAATTTTGCTAGTATGCCACCCTGGCATGCTTGGGAAATTTGTTCGTTGGCTAGTTAAAAATTCAAATAATTCATCGTTTGGGCCAGACATATTGAGTTCAGAAAATATATTTCAGTGCTTCAATTGAATTATGTTACTTAAAGTGAATGCCCAAGAAATTCTTCCACCTCGATCGATGTAGCTTGCTTTGATTGTTTAAATCCAACCTAAGAAAATATAAACTTTTTATTTTGTAGGAGCATTTACATAAATACCACCTAATTCCTTTGTATTTACATATCTAACACTTAAAATTTACCTTTTACATTTATACTTGCCAAATATTTTATATTACATCAGAAATATCACTATTATAACTCTTAAAAAGTGAAATACACCTTTTCATGCATAGTTAGGGTGGGATATATGTAAAAAATGAAGTTTTGGTGATAGTTATGTAAATACATAAGAATTAAGTGGTATGTATGTAAATCTTCCTTTTTCTCTATTGTTTAAATGCTAGTTCTGTAGTTTTGGTTGTCATCTATTGAATTGATGGCCAATAGGTAGCTTGGAGTGGGCTGGCCATGGCTAGGAATAGGCATTAAACATGGGCCATGATTGGCTTAATTACGATACTTCCAAGTCAATGTAGGTGCTTATTTCTATATTTGATTCTTTCTGTAATTAGAATGTCATATGCTACTGATGTAACAAGAAATCAGTTGCATGAAAACCTACCGCCATCCTGTCAAAGAATCTGCCGCGAAGATTTTATTCATCTTATATTTTTATTTCACTTTAAAACTTACAGCAGCTTGCCCCAGGCGGGCTTTCACAACAAATAACTGTAGATCTACTTGTCGAATTGGACTTCCTAAATTCAAATATTTTGCTGAATGATTAAAAAAATGTGTGATTTCTTTTCATAACTTTAATAAGAGCAGCAGAGTTTTGTTATCTTGAAATGAATTATCCATTTTGCACTAAAATCTCGCCTTAATTTTTTTGGTGGAATAATTTTATGAATTCTTCAATTTATTACTAAGTTTTTTAATTGTAAGCTTTGATTCCAAATTCACACCGACACTTCTTGCCAGCACACAAGGAATGTCAATTTCTGGTACTCCTAGTCAAGGCATGTAAATGTAGGGGTGTAAATGAGCCGAACACGAGCGAGCGTGTTCGGCTCGTTTATATTTTGAGCTAAAAAAGTGTGTTCGTGTTTGTTGACCTCATTTTTGTGAGGTTTTCTCTTCTCCTCCTTAGTGCATATGTTCTAGCTCTAGGAGTTTCTATTGACCATCTTAGAAAACTAGAATTGAGACTCACCCTTCTAGAAATTCCAACCACTTCCTATTTTCCTTTGATGTCTAGCATTTTTGACATAAGACCATCGTCTTATAAATGAGCGGTTATGAGCTATTTTGCGAAGATTCAAGGGAAATGTTCCAAATAGGACTTCAAGCCTTAGTAAGACATCGTCACGACTCTCTTTCGTCACATACACACGCTAGATGCACAAAGTTCACAAAATTGCACAAAATCGGACTTAATTTAAGCCCAAAGGACGGGTGAAAGTGCGAACTTCTCCGGATGACCTCCGACAATAAATTAGACTGCACCAACGCGTCCGGGATACCAATTTTAGTAGGAAAGGACATCCATATTGCCATACTTTCGACACGAGAAAATTGACACGCAAATCGGTGAATTCGTCAAAGCGACCTCTGACGGAGAAATAAATTGCGCCGAAGCGTCCGGAATGTCAAAATTACCTAGGGAGGACACCCATTTTTTTTTTTAGGGCGCCGCACATGGATAAATCACATGAAATTTGATATATATATATATATATATATATATAATTCCGTTTTTTTTTTGTTTTCTTTAAACCTAAATCCCTAAACCGCACGGCTCGATCGCCCTTTCTTCCCGTTCGCGAGGTCGGCCCAAGCCCTCCTAAATCGCGAACCCTAGCCGAACCGACAGAGCCCTCTTCCTCGTGAAGCTTCGGCCGAGGTCCCCTCCTCGTACGCCTGCCGCCCTGCGAAAAGCGCGCTCCGGCTTTACCCTCCCACGCCTCTGCGATTCTCGGCGTCACCTCCTCACGCGAGGTTTGTCGCTTCTCTTGGCTCGGCTCACCGCCCAGGTGAGCGATGGTGTTCTTCCTCCTCCCTCTCTTGCTATAAAAACCCCATTTCGGGGAGATCTTAGGGCTGGCGGAATCTTAGGGCTGGCCGAAAATTGAGAAAAAAAGGAGAAGTGCTGCCAAAATTTCTTCTCTTAAAATCTTCTTTGATTTGTTCATCTCGTGTGCTTGAGCCTTTTTGGAAGTGCTGCTGGATTTTTGTGGCTTGTTCGGTTTCTTGCTGGTTCACTCCCCGAGCCCTAGCCCGTCCGCCTCTTCCTCCCACGTCCGCCTCTTCCTCCCGCATTCGCCTCAGCTGACGCTCCCCTTCATCGCGAGAAATCGACCCGAGGTCCCCTCCACGTATGTCTGTCGCTCTGCCTAAAGGTCGTTCCCGGTCACCACGCGCTCTGTCTTCACCTACTCCAGTCACGCTCCAGCTTTCCCCTCCCACGCCTCTGCGATCCTTGTCGTCTTCTTCCACGTCGTGCCACGCGAGCTGCTCCCCTGAGACAAAGCTACGCCACTGTCGTCATCCCCCCCACGCCACTCTTGTCGCTTCTCTCAGCTCGGCTCACTGCCCAGGTGAGTGCAAGTGACTCCTTCCTCCCCCTTTTGCTATAAAAAGGGGGGAGGAATTTGAAACATTGCTTATTTGGCATATAACTCTCTTTCACATGATATATAAGTTAGAATTTGAAGCTCTCTTTCTACATTTAAGCTTCAATACGTGTGCTCAATTTTTGAAATGCTGCTTATACATCAACATTATGATTTATATGGCTCTCTAATCTCTTTCTCATGCTCACATGTGATGGATATGGTTAGCTTTGCGAAATATGCAGCTTTCGAGATTTCTTTTTCTTCCTAAAAAAAAGAAGATCTATATAGCTTATGAAGTCCTCTTTCTATGTCAAGATGTGAAGTGTGTTCATGACATTTGGAATACCTTTCATGTGCTAAAGTATTGGGTTTTATTCATGGCATTGGGAGTCTTCCCTTACATGTGAAAATATGAGAGTTCCTTTTAGCTTTTTAAGTATTTTGGTAGGCTAAGGGTTGGCTTTACACATGGCTTTTTGAAGCTTTTCTCATGTGCAAGTTATATGTCTCATACTTGGATTTTTGGAGCCCTTTTTATGTGCAAGCTAACGCTTTATATGTGGCTTTGTTTGGAAACCTTCATCATATGGAATTTTCGGATTTGGGAATGACTCTACTTGAAACACTCATGGAAAATGTTATATGTATTTATTTCTTGTGCATTTATATTGCCATTCATATGGATAACACCTAAGCTTTATTTTTGCACACTCTCCACCTCTTCTCATGCACAAAAGAGGTGTCTATCAAACTATACTTGCCAAAACAAACATTTTTTTTTGCACTTGTGAAGTTACACCATGTTTATACCTGCTTGAGTATGAAATTTGCGCTTGTACACTTGTAGAAGTTGGCTCACATTGCTCATATTCCCATCTTACACAATTTCTTTACTCTTCTCTTTATCTATGTTACATATATGCTTGAGATTGATGAAAATACTGGATGTTGTCATTCATATGCTTGTGCACTTTAATAGTTGTGTAAATTGTAGGTGTAAAAAATCTATTTTTATGTCGTTATGCTGCCCGATTTTTCTCGATCGGGTTTTCCCCCTTTTACTTACCTGGGCATGTTGCTTCCCTTTTTTACTTTGGCTTTCTCGTATATATCTCGACTTCTCATTATTATTTTAACTTCATC